CATTACCTTAAGGAGATGGGACAAGAATCCCAGTAGGGCTAAGACTGCTTTATACCAAAAGTTTGATCCACATAACTACAGAAATACAGTTAGTTGTGTTAGCTTTAAATCAAGGAGAAGGCAGAGCAGATTCGCACTTTATAAACTAACCAAAGTAGATTATACATAACTAGATAGATTCTCGTCTAATATAGAGACAGAGAAAACGATCTTATCAAAGCAGTGGCTGTTGTATATGGTAGGAAACATGCTGCCATGAACCATAAGACTCAAACCCAAAATAATTGGTCAGCCAAAAATGAGATTTAGAGCAATTTATCAGGAAGCAGCAATTCCTGTAACCCTATTGTGGCCATTTACTAATGTGCTTGCCCTTTACTGACCGTATGACTTTATTAATTGTCCAGGTGGACGGCCTACATGAACTGTCAAATGATGGTAATATGCTGAAATGTCGAAGTCATTAGTAGAAGAAGTAACATGACAGTGCCCAAAACACAAGCTCTCTCTCAGTATTGGTATATACTGATCAAATACTTGAGAAATAAGAGTGAGCAAGCCTTAACAAAGATAGATACCCGGCAGATAACAATTATGTCCTTGATTTTTCCTTATAGCCTTTTAGAACTCTGAAGTGTCTAGTTGAAAAATAAATTTCCTCAGTTTCCTTTTTCCTTCCTCACAAGTGTTACTAAACAAGATTTCCAAAGGACAGCTTCCTAGATTACACGAGCACAAAGTAAGGAAGGAGGAGCCCTGAGGAGTAGCCGCCTTACATTTACTCAACAGAGCTGAGAAACTAGAATTCCGACAGGTAATTAGATTTTAGTTTCTTCTCTCTGTGCCAGGTTGGGTGATATATATGGGCAAATATGGGCAGCATTATTACAATCCTTACAACACAAAAATATTTTAAGTTCCACAAGGAACAACATCATGTGAACAGTTATTCTGGTCCATGAACAGTTTTGTTTTTTTTAGTTCCACCATAACTAGTATTTTACAGTGATGCAAGATGATACACCTTAATAAAGTACATGTTACAGGCCAGACTTACTAAGAAATATTTGTCAGCATAATAATGTCAATTATGGATGAGGGTTTCTTTTGCAATATTCCCCTTCCAGCAGCAACAACAACAAAATCTTAGAGCAGGGGTTCCCAAAGTTTTTATGCCATGGCCTGGCAAACCACGGCCTGGAAGCGACTGCAGCTCAGCAAAGCATGGCCCAGCAGTCACAGCTGGCCGCAGCCAGAGTTTCCAGCCGGAAGACAGGTAAGGATACCCCCACCCCTGGGTAGGGGGGTGGGCAAAACCCTGCACTGCTGCAGGCCCTGCAGAAGGAGCTGCGGCCTCTCCGCCTGGCTCTAGGGGGCCACAGTTTGTCAGTCTGCAGCCACTTCTGGTCCGGCAGCTGACTGTGCCGTGGCTGAGCACCGGGCTGCGGCCTGGGGACTGAGAAGCCCTGTCCTAGAGTATCCATAGCTACACTGACGTATAGATGCTGTGGTCAACAGAGCTTATTTCACTACCAAGCAAACATAATATACCAATAAAAGCACCTTATTAGTATGAACAGCATTTATACTAGAAAGGTTTACTGGTATAGCACACTTTTTCCATCGTAAACTTGGGAACAGCACCACCAAAATACATACACCTTCTCCTACTGTAGGCATGTGTATATTTCCAAGCCCTCTAAAAAACCAGCCTTGAATCTGTAAATTTATCAGTTGTTAGTAACAACCATGGGTGCACCTATATATTGGTTGGCTATCAGATCGGCACCGATAAAAGGAGAAATGACATTACTGGCTGTCGGCTTTTTTTGGTTGTTGCAGCTGATAATTATTACCGCGTGCCCAAAACACCCTGGAGAGCATAGTTCAGACCTGCACCCTGCCGTCGGCCCAAGCCCATGGCAGACTACAGGTCCTGGTGAGCAGAGGGAAGGGGAAGGGCACCAGGGAGCAGCCACAGGGCACTGCACTCATCAACAAAAGGATCGTTTATGCCACGTGCGCAGCAGAGGCCTGAGCACTAGGGCTGCTGCAGAGACATTGGGTTGTGTGGGGGCAGGGTAAGGCGGCATGTGAGGGACATTTCACTCTGCCAGGCACCAAGCAGCTTTACAAAAGCGGCTTCTCCCTGGTGGCCATGGGAGCTCAGCTGCACAGGCCCATTGGCGCTGAGGAAGCAGCAGACTTTGGGGCTCCAGATGTGCTCAGCACCATGGTCCACATAAGGGTCTGCCCCATCGGCCAGGGAAGACAGTACAGGCTGTGTGGGGAGTGGGGCTGTGGGTAGGCGCCCTGGGTGAGGGGGTGATGTGCATGGGAATAAGGCAGTCATCGCCTTCCTCATCGAGGGCCAAAGCAGGCAGAAGGTTGCTCCTGGGCCACAGAATGCCCAATACAATGTTTTGAGTTGCTCTAAGAAGCTCTAAATAAAAAAGGTTTATTTATGTCAGTAATTTAAAATGCCTTTAACTATTACTATATATTGGTTATCAGATTGGCATCAACCAATATGGTTGGTTAATCATCAGCTACCGGTACCGGCCAAGAAAATCTTTATTGGTGCAGCCCTAGTAACAGCAGTTACCAGCAAGGATAACTAGTGCCCTGATCATATCAGTAATACAAGCAAAGGTCATATGATTTATTAATCTTAAACAGAAAATTTATTAATTGAGGCCAATTCATATTAAACAAGAACGTTTTACACAGTGCACACTCTTTTGGAATATAAATAGTTTATGACTTCTGTGAAGAAAGAGTAGTTTCAAATATATTTCTTAGAGAAGCTTTGTATGATGCCAATGACAAAGCTTTTAATTTAAATAGTTCTAAACTGTTTCAACTTGGGGGCCAGTTTTACACAAAGTTTGAGCGTTAAACCTTATTTTTGGTCATTTCTCTGGGGCCACAACATATAATCAAGAGAATATACAACACGGTCACTATTAAAAAAGTGAAAGCTGTTCTATATATTTTTTTCTACTTGCATTATCTCCTATCACTAACCCAGTAATCCTAACACATTTATCTGAATAAATCAAGGAGAGAGGTCAGTTCCAGGCTAGACTCCCTATCAGCCTCGCCTGGTTAAGGCACAGCAGTTCCTGGGACTAACAGAACACAAAGGAGCATTGCTTCCATCTGTCTTTGACTTCCCAGTCAAATGACCAGGTACTCATTTACAGCTGGAGAATTAGGTATGGCTTTTGGCAGAAGTCTAGAATGAGGCTCAAATATGCACCGCTGAAGCTGCAGTGAAACACCTTAATCACTCTGCCACGCAACATGTTTCTGCACCATAAGCTGTCTTTTAGGATGCAGAATGTTTTCAACCATGAGGCCTTTGACATTTCCTGAAGAAAATCATGGGTTAGAACCTGAAACTTTCATTGACAGTCCATCAAAGCATCCATAATGCTTCAATTATAGTAGGCACTTCAGCCACACTGTCATATCACCAGTGATATGAGCAGACCACATGCTCAGTCTGGATATTACCTGTTTTGTTTCCTGGGTCTATTCTTTTTTCTATGTCTATATGCCCCTGCTGCTGTCAGCATCACTCTCCCTGACTCCACGGCTTTCTGACCTCCTCACTTACTTTCATTCCCTTCTCCGCATATTCATTTTCTCCTTCTTTTCATTCCTATTCCTGTACTCAAATTCTCATCACCATTGAGTCACATGCACACTAATCTACACACAATTTATTTCTAACTGCCAAATGAACCCAGTCAAAAACTGCCCAGTTTGGAGCAGCTCTGAAACCAGCCAGGTTCTCTCAGTTTCAAAGATGCTCAAGGAGCTCCCACATCTCCATTACAAGGCCTAGGGCACATTCTAAGTATTAGTGTAACTAATATTAATGAGATGTGGAAAGCTCAGAGCTGGCTGTTCCTATATGAAACAGCAGTGCTTTTAATACCAAAAATCAATGCGATTTGCTAAATAACAAGTGCAATTTGCAGGATTTGTATAACAGCCCTCCATACCCAGTTCATACTGGATTACTGCCACTACTGGATTACTGTCATCTTCACTCATCTTCTGTATTGGCTCTAGCACCCTCCTGTCAACCTTCAAACAAAATTTTGATTTGTTAATGAATCCAACCCAATGACATAACAGACATAACATTCCAAAATACATGCCAACCACCCCAACCACACACAAAGATACACAAAGAGACAGCAGTATCAACAGTACTACCACAATCCAGACCTCCAAAAATCTTGTTATCCCTCTTCTGCTCCCCCCCACCGCACTGTTTTTTTTCTTCCTTATTCAGAGAATCAGCTCAAAAGCCCCCAAATCCATTGATTTAGCCTACTGTCCACTCATTCACACAGTAGGGAAGGCCCCACAGGCCACAGGTCAAGTCAGATCAGATCCACCCTCTTTTCCCCCATCTCTGCATCTGGAAAGTGATGAGAGAAACGAGTCAGCTGTGCCACTTTGCAATCCGGCTGCGGGCTGGGCCGGGCCGACAGGAGACACAGACAGTGGTTTCTGAGGCAGGAGCTTTGGCAGGCGGCAGCTGTCATAGCCCTGGGGGGGAGTGGGCTGTAGCAGTCGCGAGCTCGAGCCAGGTTTGAAAGGGCAGCGCGGGATAACTGCCCACGTGGGCGCCCTGGGTGCAAGGCTTGGGATGCCCCGCGCAGGAGGGCGGCAGGAGCTGCCCCGGGAGATACCACTGGCTTGTGGGGCAGGGGACGGAGAGGCGGTGTGTGCATGCGCTT